CAGAGAGAGCTATTTAATATTATTATAAATGAGAAAGCTAAGTTTTGGAAATGTTGAATATGGTACAAATAGGTATCTACGCCATTGAGCCCCCTCTTGGGGGCACAATCCTATGGTGCTTATAATTAGGGGGGTGAATGGGTTCTTACAAATCCTCTAGACCAGTCCCTCCCCTAGATCTCTATATATAATATTTTAAGGCCTGTACAGCATCTTCACCAAGTGACTAATACTTTTCTGTTCAAAGTTTAGTGTTTAAGAAGTCAGCTTCTTCCTTAAATGCTATCATTACAATGGCATGTCATATACTGAGTCACATAGTTCACAGCATGATCTTATATTCTCTTTTATCTCCTAATTACTTTTAGGCATTCCCAAAATTCTGCCCTTAAGACCTATTAGACCTGGCCTGGAATTCAGTCCTCTTATACTTCTCCAAATCCTTGACCCAATAAACAGTATATTCTTTTTTAATGAGGATTGTGGTGCACCATTTTAAGGTTAAAAAACTTTTTCATTCAAATTATGTCAGGCAATATACTAGATGCTTAGGCACCCGAGACCTAGCATCCCACTGCCATCATTAACGTAGTTTAGTTCTATGTCCTGCTAATGTAGGTATGGGTTTCATGCTCCCTTCCCATTAGGGCAGCCAAAGAAGGCCACAGCAAGATGAGGCTTGGAGAATATGAAAGGTCTACAGATTTATCCTTATCAGTGTATATGACAGAGAGATGTATGCCCAAATGCAAATAAATATAAGACCCAAGTTGACCCAAGTCTCTCCTCCTATAATTTTAGACTCTTCCTTTTAGTTCTGGCTCAAGAAGAGAAAATAAGAAGTACTGATCACATTTTTTGTCTTAGCACTTCTCATTTTCTACGAGAGTACTTCATTTATATATTCTTGCATTCAGGAAATAATGGGGAAACAAAGATAAATGAAATTTGGTCCTGATCATCTAGGAGATAATATTCTAGAAAAGGGAAGCTATGCAAACCAATTATGACAGTACAGTAAGGTGAGGGCCCTGCCTGAGACACCCTGAGGATTTTGAGGGCAGTCCCTTTGCTGGGGAATCAGAAAGCACAATAAAGTATAAATCATTCTTACTGCTAATTCTAAGAGGTCAAAGGAAATCATATTCCTTTGACCTTGTAGCTTCAGGTGCTACAGAGATGAAGAGTATTTACAATCACTGTCACCATTATCACTGTCTTAAGCATTTATTGTCTCTGATACAGGGCTGGAACTAGAATGAGGTGAATGAGGAGCTGGTGCAAGATGCAAATTTAATGGGACAAGAAAAACTCAGTAATTAAGACAATAATATTTTAACTCAATATTTTAGAAAATTAAAGTAATGCAAAGGAATTCATAATGAACAAGATATCAAACTTTTAAAGACAGGTCAGTCTGGTGTTGATCTTACGTACACAGAGATCCAGGGTTTTGTCTGTTTGTCTTTGAGTAGCATCGTCTAGTTGAAGTGGTGTGAAAGGGACATAAAAATAAACAAGGTGCCTGTTTTATTTTCACTCTCTTGATTACAAGTTAGAAATCTGACCTCAACTCCAGTAAGGGGACAGGGAGGGAGATTAGTAGTTGATTTTCATTATACAACTAATGTCATATGAGAACCATCAAAGAAATTCAATAGCATGAGCCCTAATAGCCCACCTTAAAGAATGAACCCAGACTGTTATTCTAGATTCAAGGAACCTCTAGACATTTTAGCAATAAAATTTGGTAGAGCTTCATGCTGGTGCTCAGCTATAGCTACCCTCTACATGTCTGCATCTTTTTCTTATTTTACCAGCTACCCCTTTATTCACATTCATATATGATTCATATATGATTTCTGCCCCTTTATTCACATTCCATAGGAGAATCCAATTGGCTTAATCCTTTTTTTCCCCATTTGAGCCCTACCCTACAGGTCATAGTTGCAGAGTGAGAGGCCTAATCTTGGTTCAATGGTCTACATTGCTATGGCTAGGGAAGAGACGAAGAAATTGAGTTGAGGTCAAGTGGGGCAAATGGGAAGGAGCCTTTGCAACCAAGGTAGTTTACCTTAGAATAAGGTATAGCTGAAGCACTTTCATATAACACACACCAGCATTGTCTATTTGCAATTAAAAATGACAAGAAAGCAGAACAAATAGCAAGTGCTAATGGAGTGCAGAGAAAAGAGAGATCACCAAGGGTCAGGATGTGCTAATTATATGCTATAAGAGCCTGTAATTATAAAACCATAGATATGCAAATAAATGCTGGTAGCTCAGCAGATGACACTACAAAGCCATTTATCTATGGCTCTTGATAAGTAGACAGCAAGAGAAACGATTTGTTTATAAATTCACTTGGAAATCACTCTAATGTCTCCAACTACTCTTCCCCTCTTCTGGGGGCATCCACAGAATGAAGAAAGCCAGTAGGCACCTTGGATGGGATTACCATATTCATTATCTTCTGACCCAGGCTACTCTAGAGGCTTATAATAAAATAAACAGGCCCTTCCATTGTGACCAGCTGATTCACACTGCCAAAAGTCATTTCCCCAAGGCACTTTTTTACTGACTAAATGGGAAATGATGGTGGCATCTGTTCCTGCCACCCAGTGACAGCTCATAAATTGGCATTTCTTGTCTGTCTGGCAGAGAGATCACGGAGACGATAACAGCAGGGAAGGGCTGCTGCCTGCCAGTATTAGGCCTTCTGGAACACAGGGCTGAGGAGTCTTTGAGGACCTCACTATGCCCATGGAGTTACAGTGGCCAAACTCAAACACATATGAAGCCCATCCCTCAGATGAACTGTGCACACATGCTTTAACTTAGAACTTAAAGCCCATCAGTTCCTGACAACCTTGGGGTTTTGGTCCTTCTGGTATAACCTGTGAGAATTAATAATAGCCTAAAAAATTTAAACCTAATTAGAAGATTCAAAATAAATTTTGACTTCCTTGAAAGAACCAGAAGTTGTTGTTTTTTTTTTTAATTTCTTTGATGGAGAATGGTAAACAAATTATCCATTAATTCAAAGAAACATTTGTCAAGTACCTACGATGTGACATTTCTTTGTTCAGACTGTAGCTTGTATAGTAATTATTGTATATTATACTGTGCCCTATTACCTAATATGCATATTACACGATAGAATATATGACAGAATACTACAACTGTATTAAGACTGTTAGACAGAAACCTTTTGTGAACTCCATTTTTATGCCACTTGAAAGGAGATTTTCACTGATACTTTTAGTTTTGTTGTTTGATTGAAAGAGGGCCTTGTCAATATTGCAAAAGGACTTTGTCAAGTTTGTCAAGTGGTTTGTTATGTTTTGGAATTTTTTCATCTATTCATTTTCTGCAATATCAAGTGTTCTCACAATCAAGGAAAGAAAATGGATTTGATATATCTATTCTTTAGCCAGTGATTGTACAAAATAACAAGGATGTGAAGGCTATCTGGCTGTGACATCTGTCACTGCATCTATCGCCAGGGTTGATTTGGCTGATCTGGCTGGCTAGGCAGGTGTCCCCTTCCTCCCTCACTACTCCATGTGCATCCCTCCCCAAGCTGCGCACTTGGCCAAAGAGGGCGACCTTCCCTGAGAGAAGGGGACCATTCTTCCGCCAAGGGCATATGAGTAGCTGTGCTCCCCTGCTGGAACCTCCAAACAAGCTCTCAAAATAACAAATAAATAGGGAAGGAAGGAAAGACTAAATTAAAGGTAAAAAGGAACCTCCAATATCAGTAACTATATCTCCACGTTGATAAAACTTTGGATGATGAGTAATTGAGCTTAGGCAAGCAATCAATCCATGGTGAAACAATTCTGGAAGTAACTGTAAGCAAAGAAATAAGAGTTTCATTTTAAAATCCAAGGTATTCAGGCCTGCCCCAAGCACCAATCTACTAAATATGTGAATCAAGTAATAATATAGCCATAAAATGGTTCAAAAAAAATATAGGTAAATTTCAAGAGTTCAATACTGAACAAAGTACAGGGCCCCATTTTCATTGTTTTGAATTCACTGTAGTATTCAAAAAATAAAATATTTTTCCTTAGTTTAGTTTATGACCTAAAAGAAATCATGGATTCCTTTTTTCTAAGGTTCTGTGCTGGCAGTTTAGATCTACTGCCATTTTATGTATAATAATATTTTTAAATAAAGATGCAGTTAGTTCTCTAAACAATCATGGGCCTAAATTATATAGCAAGACAATAGCATTGTTCATATAATTCTGTGAATATAGAGGTTGTTAGATGGACTCCAAACGTAATTAAATGTATTAACACCTATTGTAGGTCTGCCTAAGCTCAATTACTCATCATCCAAAGTTTTATCAACACAGATATAGTTACTGATATTGGGGGTTCCTTTTTACCTTTAATTTAGTCTTTCCTTCCTTCCCTATTTATTTACTTGTTATTTTGAGAGCTTGTTTGGAGGTTCCAGAGGGGAGCGCAGCTACTCATATACCCTTGGCGGAAAAATGGTCCTCTTCTCTCCGGGAAGGTCACCCTCTTTGACCACACACGCAGCTTGGGGAGGGACTGTGTATAGTTTGACTTCATCCCCAACGTTGCTTCCAAGATGGTCCAAGATGACCACTGAAGCTCCAGCCATCATGTCTGGGTTCCCAGTCAGCAAACCGAGGAAGCAGGAGAGAACAAAATTACAGAGATTTCGACTAAATCACCTTCCCTATAATGCAGCCATCCCAGCAGTCCACAAAACCCTTCTGTTCAAATCACATCGTCCCAAACATTTTCATGTGGTCACATCTACCCACAAGGGAGGCTGAAGAATGAAGTCTTTATTATAAGAAAGTGAACAATGGAAAATTGGGTTTCTGTTAATAAGAAATAAGGAGTAACTGACATTGTTTTAGATTTTTACTTTCACATATGGTGAAATGCTACTGCTTGCACAGTTGTTCCTTGTGTGTGCTAATCATGCATATCTTTCTCTTCCTCTTGTATTACCAGGCCTCCGGAACCAGTTTACAGCACTGTGAACAAACTGTGTGATAAGCCTGCTTCTCCCAGGCACTATTCCCCTGTTGAGTGTGACAAAAGCTTCCTTCTCTCATCTCCCTACCCCCACTACCACCTAGGCCTGCTCCCTGACTCTGAGATGACCAGGTACTGCATGCGCTTCCTCACCTCATCTTCTCCAACTGCATGTGCTTCCACAAGGGGGAATGGGTAGACTCTGCCTCTGCTCACTTCTCTTACATGAAACATCTTCCTCAAGGTGGAGAGATGTTCTGCTCCCTTGTTGCAATGGCAGAAATTAAGAACATTGCCTTTTTTTTTTCCTGGTGTGATCACAGAGCACTTAGATCACATGATGCTTCACATGTTCTTGGTTCCCATACTTTTTAATAAGGTATTAATTATATTTTTCCAGAAGAATTAATTTTGGAACTAATTAGCATCCTTTCCTTCATATGAAAGGATGAAAGAGAACATGTATTGAGTATTTTTTGAATAATATTTAATAAGTGCTTACTATGCTCCAGGTATAACATAACCTAAGAAATAGGTACTGTTACCACCATTTAATATTTAACTAAAATATTAAATTAATATCATCACTTAACCTCCTTGAGGTTTAAGCAACGTGCCTAAAACTACACAACTAATTGGTTCCATCTAACCACAAAAAACATGAAATTAATGTTTATACGATGTTATCATGCTAGGTGTATACATATGTCCTCTTGTTTAATTCCTCCCATCTTCTATAAAGAAACAGGTTTAGAGAGGTTAAAGCATTGCCCTCAGTATGATCTTGCCAATAAATATGGAATCCAGACTTGACCTTAGAATGTTTTGAGTCTTTCCCCAACAAATTTATAAGCAAATCATTCTAGGTCTAAAGTTTGGACTCAATTCTGTGTTAATATTCTAAAGCATATGTGTGATAAATAAATAACAAAATCCCCATCTTCGCATAGTAGCCAAAGTCAGAGAGAGAGAGGAGAGGAAGCAAAATAGAATCCAGCGTTCCATATCTTGATGTTCCTACACATGATGGGGTGTTTATAGAGTTATGTTTTCAGACCAGAATCTTCATAATACTGTTAGAGTTGAGCAAATATAGATTTTAAAATGATTCAAAATGAAAATGGTTATAATCAAGAGGATCTCTTTACAATATCATCTTTATTTTTTGACATTTTCACAGAATAAATTTAGAAGTCAATTACTGGTATCTCTAGGGGTGTTAAATAACAAATTTTAAATTATATCTAGCATTTTCAGAAATAAATGATAAAACATATTTTGACTATGTAATCAGCTGGAGCATTTCTATTAATTTGCAATGATTAAAGCCTAATAGTATTTCAGAATGCTTTATAAAAATTAAATGAAAAAATATATTTTAATAAATCATCAAAACTATTTCTTGATAGAACAATACCATTTTGAAGCTAAGAGGGCAAAGTCACCATAGTGGTAGGGAAGTGAGAAGGTGCACACACCTACAATAACAACTATCTAGTAATAACAATTATGCACCTATAGTCAGCTACATAAGGGCAGCTAACATTTAATGAGGTCTTCCTCTGTGCCAGACATTTTGTTAAGCACTTCTTATATGAATTATTTCTTTTAATCCTCACAATCACCTTATGGGGTAGATGTTATCATTATCTCTGTTTTACAAATGAGGAAATTGAAACTTGAGAAGTTGCCTCACTTGCCCAAGTCTGCCACTAGTAAGTGGCAGAGCTGGGATTCAAATCCAAGTGAGACTGACCTGGCAGACCATTAATCCCTGCAGCTGCATAGGCGTGATGGCATGCATATTCGTGCTCACTGGAAAAAGTATCCATTTCTCTTTTTCTATCCTTTCTCTATCTTTATCCTGACTTATCTGTCTTTCTCTGGCTCTAGTGAGTAAATCCTTTTTTTTTCTTTTAATCATCCTGTGCTCTTTTTTGATTAATGTAAAAGTTACATTGGTTTCTTTCTACCTCACTGGGGATTTTGAAGCATCCATTTGGAAAAACTCACCAATAAGTAGCTGATAAGAGTCTACTTCCTATGTGGACTCACCAGATATTCTTTCAGTGTACTTTCTGTAATGTGCATTATGGAGACCATAGGGTTTATTTTTTTATTTTTTAAATTAAAAAAATATTGTTTAATATTGACTATGTCTTTTTCAAATTACACACCCTCAGCAATTCTGATAAGTACTACTCTTCAACCCCTATGCACCATCCACCTGTTTGGGAATTCTATTTTCTATTTATTCTAATTTTGTCCTCTTCTTTTACCTGCTTCTTTTTTCTTTTTTCCATTATCTTTATCTTATCTTTCCAGAAAAAATTCTCACACACACATACACACCCATTTCAGTGGCCTTGTTACCAGTACACGGATACTAAAAATCTTAATTTCATCCCACTTTGCTCCTCCTCCATAATTCTCCAGTTTAGTAAATGGCACATGCATCTACCCCATTGCTCAAACCAAAAACTTGAGAGTCATCCTTACCACCTTGTTCTTTTTCACATCCACCTTTCAGTCTATCTTCAAATCCTATTGATTCTACCTCCAAAATATATCTCAAATTTACTCACTGCCCTTTACTTCTATTTCCACTACTTTAAACCAAGCCCCCATCATCTCCTACCTATAATAGCCTCCTAATTGGTCTCACTACTTCCACTGTTGTCTTTCTGGCTTATTCTCAATGCAGCCAAAGTGATCTGTTAAAAATACAGATCAGATCTTATCTCTCTCCTTTTGCATTAAGATAAAATGCAAAGTCTTTAACATAGCATACAGGCTCTGCATGATCTAGCCACTGCCTGCCTCTTAAACATCTCATTTCACTCTTTCCTTTGCTGACCACACTATTCATGTTGGCCTTATTTTTATTCACAAAATGTACCAAATCTCTTCTGGTCTCAAGTGTATCACACATGCTTTTCCCTGGAACTGAAAAGCTCTCCATATACTTTGCCTGATTAACTTCTGGTCATCTTAGATCCAAGCTTAAATTGTATTTCTTCAGAGAAGCTCTCTGAAAATCAGCTCCCCTATTATGTATTCTCACTTATTTTTTTTCCCATGAGACTCAAGCAATTTATAATTGCACACTTATTTGTGTGATTTTCAAACTAAATGCCTGTATCACGCACTACACTGTAAGCTCAGTGAGTGGAACTATTTCTATTTTATGCACTATTATGTCTGTAACACTTAGCACAGTGCCTGGCACAGCAGGAGCTCAAAATTATTGAGTGAATAAATATAGAAATAAGATCTGGGCCGGGCACAGTGGCTCACGCCTGTAATCCTAGCACTCTGAAAGGCCGAGGAGGGAGCATTGCTTGAGCTCAGGAATTCGAAACCAGCCTAAGCAAGAGCAAGACCCAGTCTCTACTAAAAATAGAAGGAAATTAGCCAAACAACTAAAAATAGAAAAAATTAGCTGGGCACAGTGGTGCATGCCTGTAGTCCCAGCTATTTGGAAGGCTGAGGCAGGAGGATCGCTTGAGCTCAGGAGTTTGAGGTTGCTGTGAGCTAGGCTGACGCCATAGCACTCTAGCCCAGGTAAGAGAGTGAAACTCTGTCTTAAAAAAAAGAAAGAAAGAAAGAAGATCTGCAAACAAGATAAGCAAACTGATACCTGTTTCAGGAACAAGTCACAGCTCAAGCTGTGCTTTACCCAGTTCTTAGAAGATACATAAAACTACTCCATGAATGAATGAATACATGCATAGAAACAAATAACAATAACTAGAACTCAGTTTCACTCTCACTTTAAACTATTTCAGTGATTATTGTCGACATTATAGAGTCAGTGAGGTAGCTGTCAGTTCTTCATAAAGACTAAGTAATTCATTTCAGAGATTATTTACTTACTCTCGAACAGGAAATACTTCCTCAAGCCAGTGTTTCTTGAAATGCAGCCAAGGGAAAAGTTTAAGAATTCTGGTTCCATTTATGACAGCACCATTGTGTCTTTGAGTAACTCAAAGACTCTCAGAAGTAGATGAGAATTTAGAATTAGATAGACAAACCCTTATCGAACTCCAATAATGTTGAGGAACCCAACCCACTGTCTTCATGGGTCTATGTTTTATTTCTACTCGTGGTAAATTAAAAATATTTTGTGATCTTCTGCCCTAAAAAGGACATTATAAGAATGTATCTACCAAGATTTATTAAGCACCAACAAAGTACAAGATACTATCCTAGGACAACTTTTTCCAAAGATGCAACTTGAAAAAGACAACCAAAGATATTGAATAAATGCCTGATTTTTAAGTTGCAGTATATAATAATGTATATTTTTTTAGGGTTTTTGAGAATTTCCCACAGTTTATTCCAGAAGTATGCACATACTGATATACCAATTATAGCCTCAAATTAGGATATGAACTAGCTCTAAGAAAGTTGGCTTGTGAAACCACCCTTACATTTATATTAGTTTAATTCCTAATTGTCATTCAAAAGAATAGAGGCCAATCATCAAAAGCAACCAGATTCAGTCTTCTATATTTACTGATCCTCAGTGGAAATACACAAGTTCTTGGCTCTTTGAATTAATAGCAAACATCCAGGATGAATTAATTGTACATACAATTTACTTCTACAAGATCATTTAAAGGAAAACAGAGAAGTTATAAGTTTTCCTTAGGAAAGCATTTTAAATTAGTTGGCACAGTGCCTAAGGCTGCAGATTATGTTTAGAGTAATTGACTTTTTAGAGCTTACAAAAGCAAGAAATGGGCAGATCCTGAACTCAAACTAAAATCTGAAGCTCTATGAAAAACAAATGGGATTGCTATGAGACTCCTACTTATCCAGTACATCTCTTTTTCTTTAAAAAAAAAAAAAGTGGTTTTTATATTGTAATTGGCTTTTCTACTTTGGGAGAATAAGTTATTCAACTTTTGATATTTCTAGGGCAAGGAGTATAGTATTCTTGGCTATTTTCTCAACATGAATGTCATATTTTCATTTGTCCTTTTACATTGATGGTTCTAATTATTGCTATTTTGCCATTGACAACAGAGGCTGAGATAAACCAGATAAAGGCTAATTAAAATGTGTTGGCAGATTTTGGATATGAAATGAACTCTGAAACACTGTATAATCATAAAACATTTTTACTTGTTGAAGAGATGAAGTATGGGACTTCACCTAGGTACCAAGCATTATCATGGATGCTAGGGATTCAAAGATGAATACACATGGTCTCTTCCCTTAAGTAGCTCACAGATAATATAAATGATGAATTACTTACTGTGGGATAAATATCTGCTAAAAGGCCTCAGTTTCTCTAATATACCTAGTCTCTAGGTAACTGTTAAAAGAAAAACTTAGACAAATTAAATTTAATAGAGTTTATTTGAGCAAAGAACAATTCATGAACCAGGCAGCACTCAGAACCACAAAAGGTTTACAGAGCTCTGCAGTGTGAGCAGCAAGCTTTTATAGCTGCAGACTCCAACCTCTGGGTCACAGACCAGTACTGGTCCATTCCCTGTTAGGGACTGGGCTGCAGAGCTACACTCCCCTCACCCCCATCCATGGAAAAATTGCCTTCCATGAAACTTAGGAAGTGGGGAGCCGCACAGCAGGAGGTGAGCAGCAGGCAAACTGAACAAAGCTTCATCTGTATTTATAGTGGCTCCCCATTGCTCACATCACTGCCTGAGTTCCACCTCCACCCTTTCTCCCCTGGTCTATGGAAAAATTGTCTTCCATGAAACCAGTTCCTGGTGGAAAAAGGTTGGGGACAGCTGTTTTATAGACTGTACACAGAAGCAAAGTAGAAAAATCCCCTGACTGGCTAAAGCTATGCATCTACCTTATTTGGGCACAATGTGATGAGTCATTTGCCTTATTTGGGAATAACGTGATGAGTCGATGGCATGCAATTGGCTGAAACCTGGCTGCTTATGGTTGTGTAAAACACTGCTGTGTGTTATACTCCTAAGTTAAGTTTTGGTTTGTTTATGTACTAAGTTAGATTGCAGTTCCTTATGTAGGAATTCAGAGTATGGAGACAGCTTCAAGCTAAGGGCCTCCTGCTTATTTAATTTAACATAACTAAAATTAGACTAGTACAAGAGGTAATGATGGAAGCAAGCATGACCTTAAACTGTCCCTTCTGCAGAGATGTGAACATATACACAGGAATGTCCCCAACTTCATCTTGTTTCATCAATTCCTAATCATTCATAAGAAGGAGTATCTATGGAAAATGAAACCTCATTTTCTCATAGGTCCATCTGCTGGTCTGACTTCTAACTATTCTCTGCTGGGCTCAGAGAATCCATTTATAATTTACTTTCTTTGTATAAATCATCATGTTGCAGCCTCACACACTCTTAATTTTGGGACACAGAACAAGATCTTTATTTCACAAAACCTCAATTGTATACCAAAGTTATGGTGAGATCCTAAATAAGTACCTCTGGCTGAGGAGAGAATAAATTTTTATTAAAGGACTGTTATAAAAGACTGTTTCCATTCATAGCCTAGTGGTGAATCCACTGAATTGTGAAGGGAAATGAATGGTTGCCAGTATGGAGAAAGGCTATGCAAGTCTGCCTGTATTTATATGGAGATATAAATATTTTAGAATATAGAATTTTGTTTTAATTAAGGGATCAAAATTTACCTCTCAGAGCATAGAAAATAAATCTTCCATTTCAATCCTTTAATTCAGTTATGTAGACCTCCAGCTTATATAAAATTTAAAGGATCCCTTAAATGAGCTTTTTTTAAGTCAGCATATATGTGTGTTCCAATTTCAATATTAAACCTATCTTCGGTAAGCTTTCTGTCGTTGCAAATTAACAGAAAATTCATCTGGGACTTTAATGATTTAACTGTTTCAAAATATGTAACTTCAAGTCACATATAAATGTCATCCCTAATCTACAAAAGAAGTGCATGTGAGTTTCTAAAGGTTAGCAGAGAAGGAATCACTTAACTTTGCCTCTGTTTTTCTTGGGATTATCAGGAAGACACTGGGTTTATCAGTAGGATTAAGGAAGAAATGTGTTTCAAGTAAAATAAATGGCACAGAGTTAATCCTCATGATGTGTAAAAACATGGTGCGTTCTGGGACTACCAGTGTTCTGCGTGGCTGAGGGTTATTGGGTGGGTGATAAGGTTGGAGATACAGGCTGCTGTGTATCACAGAGGGCCTTACTTGTCAGGCAGAGGATTTTGGACTTTTTCCAATAAGCAGAAGAGAGCTGTAGAAAAGTTTTAAAGCTAAGCAAAGACACAATCTGCTTTGTGTTTTTAGAAAGAACATTCTGTCAGCTGTGTGGAAAGAGTTTGAAGACAGGGAGAATGGTTTGTAGCATATCATAGAACAGGGTTGAAATCAGAGAGTTACAAATGGATTCAGAATTTTTATCAAATAAAATAGGTGGTACTTAGTGATTGATCCAGGGGAGGAATTTTCTGGCTTGTAATATTCACCTAGATGGTGATTTTGAGCACTCTTATCCACAATAAATACACTTAAACATAAAACTCTTTAGAAGACAAAGGAAGGGAAGGTTGGCAAAATATATTAGGTCTCTTGTTGAGATGGTGGCAATGTGATGTCATAGAAGAGCCAAGGATTGTGCCCAAACTATCTAGGTTTCCTTTTGGCCTTCCTTTTGGCCATTACTACTCATATGCATTTTAGCTAAACACTTTACCTTCCTCAGAGCCTCAA